TGAGATGGAGTCTCATTCTGTTGCCCAGGCTGGAGTGCACTGGTGGGATCTAGGCTCACTGCAACCTCTGCCTGCCAGGTTCGAGCAATTCTCCTGCCTCAGCCTCCCGAGTAGCTGAGACTATAGGCATGTGCCACTATGCCTGGCTAATTTTTTGTATTTTTAGTAGAGACAGGGTTTCACCATGTTAGCTAGGATGCCCTCCACCTCTGGGGCTTATGCGATCCTCCTGCCTCAGCCTCCTGAGTAGCTGGGACCACAGGCACATGCCACCACACCTAATTTATTTTTATTTTTTGTAGAGCTGGGGGTCTCACCATGTTGCCCACTTGGCTCGAACTCCTACACGCTCAGGTTCTTTATTGGATTAAAAAAACAATCGACACACACATTTACATTTCACGTCCTATTTTCTGCAGCAGGAAGTATGTCTGTCAACAAGATTGCATCCTGAATGTGACAAGTAATCAAGCAGATGAAATCCTCGTATCTTATGACAAATCTGTCGGATAAAACTGATATAGTCTATCTTATTGTTTTAAAAATTATAGCCCAAGGTTAAGCTTCAGATACAACAGGAGGTAAGGAGAGAACAATGGCAACGAATGAACCTGAGTTCCATCCTCCGAAGATATATACGTAAGCCATGGAGATAAAAAAGACTGTTCTACGGGGTATGAGTGACGGGACTGACCGAAACGCATGATGCCAGCAAGCACCAATAGTGCCTACCTGACTGTTGTTTTTGCTTGAATGTCTTACTTCAGAAGTCAGCATGCAGCCTGATACTTTCCCATTTTGTGGATAATCCAGATGCACCAGGTCTCGGCAGTGAGCATGACATATGTATTTACCCTCTGAAAGAGAAAGCACATTAGGTTCCCGGTTAGATCTACATTGTTCTCTATTCTGACAGGCTGAGAAAAATGGAACCGCCTCCCCTACTCAAAAAGCCAGCATCCAACCTGGAGTAATAAAAATGAGTTTGTGTAGGGCCCATCTGTTCACAGTGCAGAGCCATTTAAACCTAGACTATCTTGGCCTCCTCTGAAATTCAATCAGAGTATCACGGAATATCTTTCACAAAGACAGGAGATTAAGCTACAATACATTTTTTTTTTCTTTTTGCAGTTTTTAAATTACGACAACATTGGCTGGGCGCAGTTCCTCATGCCTGTAATCCCAGCACTTTGGGAGGACAAGGCAAGCAGATCAGTTGAGCCCAGGAGTTCAAGACCAGCCTACACAACATGGCAAAACCCTGTCTCTGTTAAAAATACAAAAATCAGCCAGATATGGGGGTGGGTGCCTATAGTCTTAGCTACTTGGGAAGCTGAGGCAAGAGAATCACTTGAACCTGGGAGGTAGAGGTTCCCATGTGTAATCCCAAGGTTCTGGGATTACAGGCGTGAACCACCACATTGGCCTTACTTAGAAAAAAAAATTCCAGCCTGGGCAACATGGCAAGACCCCATCTCTACAAAAAATACAAAAATTAGCCAGGTGTGGTGGCACACACCTATAGTCCTAGCTACCTGGGAGGCTGAGTTGGGAGGATTGCTTGAGCCCAAGAGGTCGGGGCTGCAGTGAGCTGTGTTCAACTACTGCACTCCAGCCTGGGCGACAGAGTGAGACCCTGCCACCAAACGCAGTGGTGCAATCATAGCTTACTGCAGCCTTGACCTTCTAGGCTCAAGTGATCCTCCTAACTTGGCCTCCCAAAGTGTTGAGATTACAGGCATGAGCCACCATGCACAGCCTCACCTATCAAATATTCAAAATTCATATGTGTTGTAGCACATATCAGCTCTTCCTTTCTTTTTACAGCTGAATAATAGTCCATTATCTGAATGTCACACACTTTGTTTATTCTCTCATCTGTTGATGGCCATTTAGGCTGTTTCACTTTTTTTTTTTTTTTTGGCTGTTATAAATAATAGCCAAACATTCATGGACAAGTTTTTTGTGTGAACATAATGCTTTCCATTTTCTGGGGTATATACCTTGGACTGGGATTGCTGGGTCATGTCGTAATTCTAAGTTAAACTTTTTGAGGAACTACCAAACTGTTTCCAAAGTAAATATTTTAAAAACATTTCTCTTAGCCACATTACAACACATAAATAAGAGCTGCCACAATTTTATTCACCAGCAAGTAGATTTCTCTCATCAAGAGTCTAGTAATGGAACCCACTCAAGACAGGTCTAACATAATGACATTCTTAAGGAGCCTTCCTAGGAAAGAACTCCAATTGGCTTCAGTTGTAAACTTCACATCAGATACTACTTAAAATGAAGCCGTCAGTCTGCCAACTATCTTATTGTTTCTAAAATTTTAACCCAGGGATAAGCCTCACATAAAACAGGCAATACGGAGAGAACCAATGGCAGTGAGTGAATCTGAGCTCAATTCTCTGAAGATATACACGTAAGCCATGGAGATAAAAAGACCACTCTGTAGGGTGAGTGATGGGACTGCCTGAAACCCACATGTCCACAATATTCCATCATACAGACAGACTATACAAACTGATTTAATAATAAGTTTATGATTGGTCTATCTGTATGATAGAATATTGTCAAGTGATCAATCAATGATGTTGGAGAATAATAATATTTAATGGTATGAGGAATTTTTTCTTTTTCGAGACAGGGTCTCATTCTATTGCCCAGGCTGGAGTGCAGTGGGCATTCACAGCTCCCTGCAGCTTCAACCACCTGGGCTTAAGCAGTCCTTCCACCTCAGCCTCCCAAGTGGCTGGGACTACAGGCATATGCTACTATGCCTGCCTAATTTTTGTATTTTTTGTAGAGACGGGGTTTCACCATGTTGCCTAGGCTGGTCTTGAACTCCTGGGCTCAAGTGATACACTCCCTTAGACTCCCGAGGTACTGGGACTACCGGTATAAGCCACTACACCCAGGCAAGAAATTGTTAATGGAAACAATCAAATTACAAAAGAGAAGATATGTTATGATTCTGCTATGGTTTGAATGTGTTCCCCAAATTTCATGTGTTGGAAACTTAATTCTCAAATTCATATGTTGATGGTGTTTGAAGGTAGGGCTTTTTGGGAAGTAATTAGGGTTAGATAAGGCCATCAGGGTGGGGCCCCCATAATGAGACTGGTGGCTTATTTATTTATTTGAGACAGCGTTTTGCTCTTGTTGTCCAGGCTGGAGTGCAGTGGTGCGATCTCGGCTCACCGCAACCTCCACCTCCTGGGTTCAAGCGATTCTCCTGCCTCAGCCTCCCAAGTAGCTGGCATTACAGGTGCCCACCATCACCCCCAGCTAACTTTTGCATTTTTAGTAGAGACTGGGTTTCACCATGTTGGTCAGACTGGTCTCAAACTCCTAACTTCAAGTGCTCTGCCTGTCTCAGCCTCCCAAAGTGCTGGGATTACAGGCATGAGCCTCCGTGCCCTGTCCCAATTTTTTAAAAATATATACATTGAAAAAAGATAAGGATATGTGCCAATGATCAATTCCAATTATGTTTGGTTAAGATTACCGAGATTTTATGTTTTGTGGGTTTTTTGTGTTTTCTACAGAGCTCATGTAATTATTTTATAATCAGAACAATATTATTTATAAAGCATAATAGTCATGATGGTGAGAATATTATAATTGTGAGAAATGGCATAGTCCTAAACTAAAAGGGTGGCAATTAGGGATGAAGATGGAAAGTCAAATTTGAAAGATGCCTAAAATATAGTATTATGGGCTGAGTTGCATGCCTCCAAATTTCCAATGTTGAAGTCCTAACCACCAGTATATCAATGTGTGGCTGTATTTGGAGGCAGGACATTTAAAGAGGTAGTTAAGATGAAATGTGGTCACGTGGATGGGCCCTAATCCAATACAACTAGTGCTCTTACAAGAAGAGGAGACTAAGGCCGGCCACTGCAATCCCAACCCTTTGGGAGGCTGACGTGGGAGAACTGCTTGAGTTTGAGATCAGCCTGGGAAACACAGGAAGAGATCCCATCTCTACAAAAAATTAAAAAATATTAGCTTAGCGTGAGGTCATGCATAGGTAGTCCCACCTATTTGGAAGGCTGAGGTGGGAGGATTGCTTCAGCCTGGGATGTTGAGGCTGCTGTGTACTGTGATCATGCCGCTGTATTCCAGCCTGGGCAACAGAGTAACCTGGTCTCAAACAAAAAAAAAAAAAAAAGAGGAGGAGACTAGGACACAGACAACACACAGGCCAAGACCAAGAGCAGGCCACGTGAGGACACAGCAAGAAGGTGGCCATCTGCAGGCCAAGAGGAGAGGTCTCAGAAGACACCGAATCTGCAGACATGCTGAGCCGGGATTTCCAGCCTCCAGAACGGGGAGAAGATGATTTTCTGATGTTTAAACCACCCCGTCTGTGGTATTTTGTTATAGCAGCCCTAGAAAATGAAGACAGCTAGTATTGTCAGGATTTTGATAGGGGAAGGGAGGACTCTAAGATAACTTCCAGGTTGCTTTTCTCAAGGTAAAGACACAGATGGGAAGGATTAAAGATTGAGTTCTGGGCAGTTTGAACTTCAGATGTCAGTGGAACTGAGCAGAGATGTTGAGCAAGAAGTTGGAGCGTGGGTCTCAGAAGGGAGAGCTGAGATGGGGCTGGGAGATTGGGAGTCACTCAGCTTATTAAGTTGTATGGGAAGTCAAGGGTGTGACTGAGAGCAGTCTGAGAGAGGGTGACCTATTTTTGGAAAGAGCACAGTTTGTGGGTCAAACAGACTGGCTTTGAATTCCATCTCTACCTCTTTTTAGCTGTGAGACTTTGCCCCCATTACTATCCTACTCAGAACCTCAACTTACCGTTTGTGAGACAGAGGGGATAGCAGGGCCTCTTCTGAGCCTTAAATGATGTACCATGTTAGGTTCTAGAACGTTCTAGAGTTGGAGTTCACAAAAAGTGGAAGCTATTTCTATTTTAGTAAGAACTAGGGAAAGGAGAGAATGCTGATCCTGAAGAGGTGCTCAGAGGAAGGTAAGCATTGAGGAAGGCTGAGAAGGAAAATTCAGAGAGACAGGGGGAGAAATAGGCAAGAGGGTGGGGGAAGGAAGTCAAGATCCAATATGGCTTCCAGAAAACAACTGATCAGCAACGTGATGTGCCGTAGAGACGTCAGGTAGACAAGCACGGAACACAGCACAGGTGACCTGGCCGTCAGGAAGTCTAGGGGCAAAGAGAACTCGCCTTGAAATAAATGAGAGGTAAGGGAGTGTGTTTGTAGGCGTCGGCCATTTCTTCAAAAAGTTTAACTGCATTCTGCCAGGCAGTTGGGGGGTAATAGGATTGGATCCTTCCTATGTGACCACCAGCGATGTATTTTATTACTCAGTAAAACATAGACGTGATATCGAAGAGAAAAGGGCACTGAATCCCTCACCTGTTTGCCCGTCTTCTGTTGTCTACCCCAAAATAGAACTAGAACTGAAATCTTGTAGAACTCCTTATTTAAATTCAAATAGAATGGGATATATGATTCATTTCAATTCCTTATTCCATACGCTTCTCCTTTGAAGACTATGTACCATTTTTTCTTTTTAAGTCCCAAGGCTCTCCCTTCTTACTTGGGAAACAGAATAAAGTTATTATGTTATTATTTATGTGTGTCTGTGTGGTAATAAACCCAACACAGACAAATTGAATTAGAGAGCTGTGTGCTAGTCAACAGTATTCTAAGAGGGAATTCACTAACAATTCAGGAAACATTTATTCTTTGGATGCATTTTTGTTTCTCCATCATAATTATTTTTATCTCTACAATGTCAAGCCTACAGCAGGCCCACTGTTTTCTTCTATTAAAAGCCTACTTTTAAAAAGTGAAAACAGGTGGGGCGTGGTGGCTCA